AGGGCGTGGCAGCTGGAGAACCACAGGCAGCAGCTTCCAAACCAGCTGCCCAGAATCCTGAGCTGAGCCCTGATACCGTCTTGGGAAAGGACACTGAGGCTGCGAAAGAGCCCTGTGAAAAGCCCTGCAGAGGTAGGAAAACCAGGGAGAGGCAGAGGAGCACCTTGGCACCTGCCTGTCCCCATCGTGGCTCTGCCCTCGTGGTTGCAGCCGTCGCTGTCTCCTCTGGATGATCTCCCCAAGCGGGGTAGCATCTCTTGCAACTCAGTCTACATGGGGCTGTCCTTGAAAAGTATCCGGGAATTCCACTTGCTTCAAAGTGCAGCAGCCCGCGTGGTTTTGTGCAGGTCCATAGGGGTCCCTGTGGGTCCTGCCTCTCCCGCAGGAGCTGCATTGGCTGCCAATTTGCCTCCAGGTGCAATTCGAGGCCCTGTTGTCACAATCTAAGCCCTACATGGCCTGGGACCAGGTTATTTGAAGGACCCTCTTTTCCCAGTGACATTCCCCCCCCCCGCCCCATCCACCAGAGCGGGGAGGTCTTAAGAAGGTCCATCTAGTGGGACCAAGGAGAAGGGCCTTCTCCCTGGTGGCTCCCTCCCTGTGGAACATCGTCTCCGGAGGGATTAGACTGGGGCCCTCTTTCGCAGAGCCCTAAAGTCCAGGTTCTGCCAACGGGAACCTGGAGTGGGAGGGAGCCCATCAAGTGGCTTGTTTGACTGATGGCTGTTGGGTTTGCTCTGATTTTACATGCTAGCGGCTGCCCTGTCATTCTGATAGGGGTGAACCTTGGTGATTCCTTGGGCTGTTCTTTTGTTTTTGTTTTGCTTTTACTGCTAACTCATTTGTCTTGAGTTGATAGTCCCTTGATTGGGATATGGGGGTTTATTGTTTTTGTTAATTATTGCATTTGGGGCTTTTATTTTTTTCTGAGTGGACAGCCATCTAATAAATAAACAAAATAAATAAATCTGAAGGTTGGAGAAGCAAGTAAAAGGCGGTGTCAAGCATAGGAAATCAGAAGCCAGGGCGGTTCAAATGAAAACGGGTTTATTTATGACATGATAACATTCTACAAGAATCTGAAATACTAACGGTCAAGGCAAACTAGTGGTAGATAAGGGTCAGTGGAAGTCAAGGTGGGGTCTCTTATGGTCACGAAGGGACTCCAGACTGATGACCCGCTTGACCCCTCCTTCAGGCTCAGCCTGGTCATCTTCTACAGGCGGGCGGGAGGATGGGCAGCCACTCTTCAGCTACAAGCCACATATGTGGCACGATGGGGTCAGTTACCACATTTGCTAATCCGAATGTTGTTGTTGTAGATCACGTGGAATCTAAAAGTGAAGAACCAGAAAATAAACAGAGAAAAGTAGATTCCTCAGAGAAGTCGAAGACTCCAAGCCAGCTAAAAGGTAGGCCTTTGGGACAGGAGATCCTAAAAGAAAAATCTTTCAGGGTTCAGAGGAGGTCGCTTGCCTAGAATGGCTTCAACTCTGCTCGATTGTCTTTGCTGTACTTTGAACTGGGTACGGATGTCTGAGCAGTTAAGAGCTGGTTTTCTGCATGCACACACACCCCTTCCCCAAAAAGACCATAGGCAGTTAGTGTGCTATGAGGCCAGGAAGCGAAAAGAGAAAGATAATGACGCTTTGTGTATCCCTGTGCAGTATTTCTTGGTTCAGAAAATAATTGAAGTGATAATTGAAAAGGAGAAAAATCAGGGAGGCGATAAGAAGTAAGCATCAAGACTCTGTTGCTCTGTTTAGATAGCCTTGTGGTGAGACGGGAAGCAAATAAACTTGGATGGATGGATGGGAGAGTGGATGGATAGATAATGATCACTCTCTGTCTATCAGAGAGGGAGAGAGAGAGAATTATCTCTATCTCTTATCTTAGGGAGAGATAGGATAGGATAGGATAGGATAGAACAGAACAGAACAGAACAGAACAGAACAGAACAGAACAGAATAGAATAGAATAGAATAGAATAGAATTCTTTATTGGCCAAGCGTGGTTGCACACACAAGAAATTTGTCGGTGCAAATGCTCTCAGTATATATAAAAGAAAAGGTACATTCATCAAGAGTCAAGAATCATCAGGTATAACACTTAATAATAGTCATAGGGTACAAATAAGCAATCAAATCATACTAGGAAACAGTCAATATAAATGGTAAGGATACAAGCGACAAAGAAAGAAAAAAAAGAAAGAAAGAAAGAAAGAAAGAAAGAAAGAAAGAAAGAAAGAAGAAAGGATGAACTGCAATGGTCCTTGTTAATATATACTTTTTTTGTTTTGTGGTCTTCATTCTAGAGTTCGATTTCCTTGTCCCCAAAGCTGGCTACTTTTGTCAGATCTGCTCCTGCTTCTGTGTGGACGAAGCATCTATGAAGAGCCACTGCCAGTCTCCGCTTCACCAGCAGAACATGGAGGTACCATTTTTCCATCTGGACAAGGAGCCCTCCCCGCTCGGGTGAAATGGGGGGGGCAGGGTCATTGTTTTCAACCGAGTGCAAATCCTGTCTTTTCTGTGGTGGCCTTGGAGAAGAATGCCGCTGGCCAAAACTCCATGGGTCCCATTCCAGGGATCCCAGCACAAAAGATTCTCCCGGGGTCTTTGTGGTAGGGATGATCAAGGAGAAGGTTCAAAGGATCCCAGTAACTTGACTACAGATAGTCCTCGAATTAAGGCCATGAATTGAGCCCAAAATTTACGTTGCTAAGTGAGAAATGTGTTGAGTGAATTCTGCCCCGTTTTACGACTTTTCTTGCCACATTTGTAAAGCAAATCACTGAAGCTGCTAAGTTAATAACATGGGATGTTAAGCAAATCTGGCTTCATTTTTAAATCACTTTTTTCAGTGCCGTTGTAACTTCGAACAGTCACTAAATGAAGTGTTGTAAGTCGAGGTCTACCTGTAATTCCCCTATCCCATCCATTTAGTCAACCAGAAGTTTCCTCGTTTTCTTTCTTGCTGCCTTCTCTAAACTGGTGAACTGCAGGTCCTTTCACAACTACTGTAGAAGCTGTCAGAGTGTTTGCGGCGTGGCTACTATTATGAGTCAGCCCAGGAGCAAAACACAGCACAGAGAGATTTAGACATTTAACAATGGTTTAGATACAAGACATATACAGAAATATACATGGTAGGCAAATACCTTACAAGCAATCAATCTTCTTAACTCTACACTGAGAACTCCGCAATGGATACAGGATACAAGGAGAGAAAACACGCCCTCTATAATGTCAGTCTTATATAAACACCTCTTAAAATGGTAAGACTTCTGTGGACCCCTACTTAATCTTTAAAAAGGCAATACCAGTGCTAATTCATCAGCCTTATATTGCATCAGCCTTATATTGCATCAGCCTTACAGCAACTGGCAGCTATTAAATCTTATACGTCAACAGAAGCTTGCGAGTGGTTGCTTCTTAAAACATTTCCCAAATCCTTACTAATCGGAGAACCAGCTCGCTCTAGCGTCGAAGTGGGCAGAGGGCAAGGCAGCTCAGAATTGCAATGAGCAGTCCTTGGTGCTCTCTGAGCTTGGCTTCAGTAACCAAATTAGGTAATCTCAAGCCCTAGTGACCCAGTTTGGGTCAGGGGTTCCAGGACGTGAATCGTTTTGGAAAAGAAGAAGGCCTGTCCTTGGCCTCTGTGGGTGAGGTCTAAGCTGTGTACACTTACTAGGAAAAAGATTTTGATGCCCTAGTGCAGGGGTCCCCAAACTTGGCAACTTTAAGACTTGTGGGCTTCCAACTCCCAGAATTCTCCAGCCAGAGCAGGATGACCCTGTGGTGTTTTTGAAAAAGCGGGCTCCGTTCTGGGAATCCTTGCAGGAGGGACTGAGAATAAGGCCACCATTAATGTGGACCAGCAGTCAGGTCAGCAGAGATGAACTCCCAGGTTAACCTCAGACCAACAATCGAGTAAATAATACCCCAATCAGGAAACTGCCCAAGAAGCCAACAGCAAACAGACCAACCATCTCTTAAGACCACCCCCACCAACATTGACCAGGCAAGCCACAAGAATAAATTAACTGCAAACCACACTCCTCCTGCCACTGATGTTGTTACCTAGTTTGGCTCATGAAACGTCTGCAAAGAAACCACCAAGCTCAGAGAGAGCACCAAGGACCCCACAGTCCTTCCTCCTCCTCTGCAACCCCCCCTCCCTTCTGGCACTGATGATGTCGTCTCTCAGTTGAGTCATGAAATGTCTGCAAGGAAACCAAGCTCGGAGAGTATCAGGGACCCCACAATTCCTCCTCCTCCTCCTCCTCCTCCCCCCCTCACTCCCTTCCGGCACTGATGATCTATCCTAGTTGGGTCATGAAACATCTGTAATTAACCACCAAGCTCAGAGCCCCAAGGACCTCCCAGTCCTTCCTCCTCTGCAAACCCCCTTCCTTTCTGGCACTGATGATGTGTCTTAGTTGGGTAATGAAATGTCTGCAAGGAAACCACCAAGCTCAGAGAACTCCAAGGACCCCACAGTCCTCGTCCTCCTTCTTCCCCCCCTGCAAACGCCACTCCTGGCACTGATGATGTGTCCTAGTTGGAACAGGGAACGTCTGGAAGTAAACCACCAAGCTCAGAGCCCCCAGGACCTCTCCTGTCAGTCCTGAGCTACCAATATTCTCCTTCCTTGGATCCCCTGAAGTTTTGTGTGTAGACCTGGTTGCCACACTTGGAAAAGTGATAGGGAAAAGAAAAACCCATGAATTTTTCAAAACGGGAAAACTGATTAGCCATTGGGAGGCGGGGAGGGGCAATAAACGCTTCACCCTCTTATAATTTGTCATAACAACTTGAAACCTTTTTGTGCATCTTTTCAGAAATTCATAATCAAGAGCCCAGCAGAGCAGACAGGAAAAGAAGGTACGGAAGAAGAGAGCTTAACGTGATACGAAGATGGGAAGTGCCTCTGCAGAATTTTATTTAGGGTCCAGTTGCTTCTTTGTGTTCTGTTCTTGTTTTTTTTTTGTTTTTAACCTTGGTTCGTTTTGAAGATTTTCATGTCGTATTCACTTCTGTTCCTTCAAGAAGCAGGCTATTAAAATTGTGTAGTGATTTTGATTCCTTCCAGGACAATGTTGGAAGGACTCTAATAAATAAATTCTTACTGTAGAACCAACAGATTGGGGTTTTGCTTCCGAGTGGTCGAAACGGCACAGCCTTGTGCTCTTTGCAGAATAAAGTTCTTAGGGCGTCAGTTGTGCACCCTGTGAGTTTCCGCCGGGGACAAATGGATGGGGGGTTTCCTGCTCAGCAGTTTTATTAAGCCTGCGTTGGCTGGCCTTTGGCCGTCATAGCTGGCACGTTGGTCACACCCAAGAACACGGCATCAAATGCTAGATTATCTTAGCCAGCAGAACTCCAGGATCAATTGCTTCCACTTCCCCAGATGTAAATGTCCAAGCGGGAGCCAGAAGTTTATCGGATAGGGGCGAACATTTAGAAGGTAGAATAACAGGGTTGGTGATGATCCCCTTGGAGGTCTTCTAGTCCAACCCCTTCCCCTACCAGCAGACCCTTAGCAAAGGATTGAATGCCCTTGCCAAGACCAACAGCCCACAACACTTCCCTTGACGTCATATCGCCTCGCACAGAAGTTGGAACTACAAATAGCTGGAGATTATTATTTTTTTTCAGCTACTTGGTTGGTGCAGCTTGTCTTGTTTCGTTACTTGATGGGCAGGAATTTGGCACAGGATTTTAACATTAAGGTTATTTTGTGTTTTGTTTTAAACTCTTGTCTGGGTAGCTTCAGAGGAAGCTTCCCGGTCGTGTGTTTTGCTGGGAGAAAGAAAAGAGGGAGGATTTCTTACAGATTGGGGCACTGGGGCACTGGGGCGCAAAGAATAACAGTTGAAAGGGACCTTGGAGGTCTTCTAGTCCAACCCCCTGCCTCAAGCAGGAGAGCCTGTACAATTTTAGACAAGTGGCTGTCCAGTCTCTTCTTAAAAACCTTTAGAGATGAACCAAAGGTGCTTTTTCAGGAGGTTTTTTTTGTGTGTGTGTGCTTTTGAAGACGTTTTGCGTCTCGTTCAAGGAGCTTCTTCAGCTCTTCCTTGCAGACCCAGCTGGTCATTGGCATCCTTTTGCACTTCAGTTTGAGATGCAGGCTCATCCCCAACAGTCTGCCTGCCATCAGCAGGGAAGGGACACAGGACACACAGCATCCTGCAGCCGAGAAGGCTCCACACCCATTTGCACCACTCAGCTGACCCTGAGGACACAGATAAACCTCCAAGTGGCCTCAAGGACTCTAAAAAGGATGCAAATGACCAGCAGCCTGAAAGGAATAACAGAATAGCAGAGTTGGAAGGGATCTTGGAGGTCATCTAGTCCAAACCCCCGCCCAAGCAGGAGACCCTACACCATTTCTGACCGATGGCAGTCCAGGCGTATCAATCCTTCCATTCCCCACCATCCAGTCAGAACCGAAGAAGCTTCTGGGCTGAGAAGCGAAGTCCAGTTACCTCTTGGGAAAAAAAAAAGCACCATTGGGATTCCAGAGAGCCAGTGGGCCATCAAGGGGTCAGCTGGACTGCTGGTCCAACAGGTGAAGTCACGGTAGCCGAGGCTCAAATCTCTCTGGCCAATCCGCCAGTTGGGTCTTCTCCCATCATGCTGAAGACTGGAGTCGTGCTCTTCTCCATTGCAGGTAGTCCTCTGCTTATGACCACAATTGAGCCCAGCATTTACGCCACTAAGTGAGAAATGTCCCATTAAGCATCTCTTCTTGCCCTATTTGTTAAGTGAATCACTCTCCCAGTTGTTAAGTAAGTTACACGGTCATTAAGTGAACCTGGGCTTCCCCCGTTGACTTAGCTTGTCAGGAAGTTGCAAAAGGGGATCACGTAACCCCAGGATGCTGCGGCCGTCATAAACATGAGTCAGTGGTCAAGCATCCGAATGTAAATCACGTGACTACAAGGATGCCGCAAGGGTCATAGCAATAGCACGTAGATTTGTATAGCGCTTCACATGGCTTTCCAGCCCCCTCTGAGCAGTTCGCAGAGTCAGCCTCTTGCCCCCAACAATCTGGGTCCTCATTTTACCCACCTCGGAAGGCTGAGTTAACCTTGACCTGGTGAGATTCGAACTGCCAAATTGCAGGCAGCCGGCAGTCAGCAGAAGTAGACCGTAATTAAGCACATGCTTAGTCCAAACAACTCTTGTGTTATTTCAACGCTGGGAATTATTTTCATTCCCAGCCAGTAATGAGTCCCAAACAATCCCTAGAGATAAGCACCCACCTTTCTCTCCCTTTGAATTGCTGCCCACAGCTAAAGTGCCAAATTTAACTAAAAAGTCAAATGAAGTCTACACAGAGCTTCAAGGTATAATCTGAACAGCGCGAACGACGTTGCTTCCTGCAAAGGTTCCTGTCCCTTTGCACTTCCTTTATATCTTATGGGAGGGGCAATCACCTCCAAGCCTTACTCCTGCTGCTCTTGCCTTCTGGAAGCTCTGCGCACACACGCACTGGGAACAGGCTCCCCTTGTTCCTCTGCCTCACTGCTGCCAGATTCTGGAGGCTCCAGAGTCAGCACCCCACTCCCAGATGGTCCCGGCCCCATTTCTGCATCGGATGCAGGACCCTCATCCGGGTCCTTCCTGGACTGGCCCATGTTCCTCCCCACTGTCCGACTCTGCTGCCGTCTGCACAGGCTGCTGGCGGACCACAACTCTGTCCGAAGACGTCTCCGTGGTTATGTGGCCGGCATGACTAAACGCTGATAAGGCGCACAGAACAATGTTCCCTTCCCCATCAGAGGGGTACCTATTTTTCTACTTGCATTTTTACATGCTTTAGAACTGCAGAAGCTGGGACAAGGGACGGGAGCTCACTCCATTACACGGCGCTAGGGATTCGAACCACCAAACTGCCGACCTTCCTGATCCACAAGCTCAGCATTTTAGCCACTGAGCCACCGTGTCAGGTGGCATACTGAACTCTTAACCACTGCACCCCCGTGGCTCTTAAGTGTGAAAAACTGCCCATGGGTCACTTTTTTTTTCCCCAGTGTGCCATTGTAACTTCAAACGGTCACTAAATGAACTGTTGTAAGTCGAGGACGACCTGTAACTCTCTTCAAGGGGGCTGCCCTGGAAGACAAGCTGAGGACCCTCGGGTTAGGAAGGGACTGTACAAAGATCTCCAGGCCCCTTTCTGACCAGCACCAGCCAGCTCAGCAGAACCACACCTGTCCCACAGGTGGAGATGTTTAGCTGTTGGTGACTTCTTCCTTGGTTTCTTCTGGAGATCTTTCCTCTAGGTCAGGAGTCTCCAACCTTGGCAACTTTAAGACTTGTGGACTTCAACTCCCAGAATTTTCCAGATAGCACAGCACAGCACATACAGCACAGCACAGCACAGCATAGCTGGCTGGAGAATTGTGGGAGTTGAAGTCCACAAATCTTAAAAGTTGCCAACTTTGGAGCTCTGCTGTAGATAGACTCCCCTGTCTAGCAAGAGAGGAAGTTTTGGAGGCCCACCTTGGAAGTGGTCAGAACAGCAGCCAGAGACCAGGCCCCCTCAGCACAACAGCATGCCCACTGAGATCAGGGTGGCCCCGGACCTCTGCTCCTTCACCAGCTGGTGGTCAGCCATCTTCTCCAGGGCATCTTCTCCAAGTGATCTTCTCTGCAGGATCTAGCGAGCAGAAGAATGGCCCAGCAACCCACCCATTCCCCCCCAAAAACGCATCAGAGTGATTTGATAGAGTTGGAAGGGACCTTGTAGGTCATCTAGTCCAACCCCCTGCCCAAGCAGGAAACCCTACACCATTTGTGACAGATAGCAGTCCAGTCTCTTCTTGAAAGTCTCAAGTGATGAAGCTCCTGCAACTTCCGAAGGCAGCTTCTGTTCCATGGATTGATTGTTCTCCCTGTCAGACAATTCCTCCTTATTTCCAAGTTGAATCTCTCCTTGATCAGAGATGGTTTTCTTGGGGGAACAGCCTGGTCCCCAGGTTCCATGTAACCACATTTTTGTCCCTTTAGTACAAGGGCCTTCAAACTTGGCAACTTTAAGACTGGTGCCCTTCAACTCCCAGAATTCCTGAGCTAACATGACTGGAGAGGAATTCTGAGAATTGAAGTCCACCAGTCTTAAAGCTCTCAAGTTTGAAGACCCCTGATCTATCATCTATACCTGTCTGTCTGTCTGTCTGTCTATAGTCTATCCATCCATCCCTATCCATCCATCCATCCATCCATCCATCCATCCATCCATCCACATCTATCTATCTATCTATCTATCTATCTATCTATCTATCTATCTATCTATCTATCTATCTATCTATCTATCTATCTATCTATCATAAGGTTCCTCAAACTTGCCCAGTTTAAGGCTTGTGGACTTTAACTCCCAGAATTCTTGAGCTAACATGGACTGGAGAGGAATTCTGGGAGTTGAAGTCCACAAGACTTAAAGCTGTCAAGTTTGAAGACCCCCTGATCTATCATCTATACCTGTCTGTCTGTCTATCATCTATCCATCCATCCATCCATCCATCCATCCATCCATCCATCCATCCATCTATCCATTCATCCATCCACTTCTGTCTGTCTGTCTGTCTGTCTGTCTGTCTGTCTGTCTGTCTGTCTATCTATCTATCTATCTATCTATCTATCTATCTATCTATCTATCTATCCATCCATCCATCCATCCATCCATCCATCCATCCATCATCTATCACAAGGGTCTTCAAGCTTGGCCAGTTTAAGACTTGTGGACTTCAACTCCCAGAATTCCTGAGCTAACATGACTGGAGGAGGAATTCTGGGAGTTGAAGTCCACAAGACTTAAAGCTCTCAAGTTTGAAGATCCCTGGTCTATCAGCTGCCTGCCTGCCTGCCTGCCTGCGTGTCTCTCTATCGTCTCCCCATCCATCCATCATAGGGTTTCCTACTCAGTCAGGGAGTAGAAGATCTCCAAGGTCAAGGTCCCTTCCAACCCTGTTATCCTGTTAAGTGACTCAGAGCAATTAGCACAATGGAAAGATGTAGCATCCACATCGATGTCTGATGCCTTCTCGCATACAACACAAACTTGTTAAGTGCCTCTTGGCTGGGCTGGACCCGAATGTATGTATATATTTGTGTGTTTGCA